TGTGTAGACAGAGAAAAAAAGTTGTAGATACATGTGCGTGCTATTATGAAAAAATAATAATGAATATTGTTGATCATGAGTACTTGATACTTGTATTCCAACACTCGAGGACTACTGAAGTAATGCCAGGACTATATTAGCAGCCCTAAAATATATATAAGCAAACCCTTCCAGAAGTGACTAGTGATTTTAAATAAAATCAAACTGTGAAAATCAGGCCCTTTGAAAATACCTCAAAACTGCTAAACTACAGTATTTGAAAATCAGCCCTCTTTTGAACTTACTCACCTGGCATGAAAACTAGACATTTCCAGTGATTTCTAAAATGGTTTTGAGAGTGTCATGGAAAATGTGATGTTCTGGATAAGGTGAATAGTATCTCTGCTTATGGGGGAGGCTTGTCATGGACATCTAACCTCTAGTTGCAGATCTCACATATGTTTAGAATTTCCAAAATTGTATTAAAATTACATTCTCTAATTTATAGTGTGTCAATAATATAATGAACTATAAAACCTTATGTAATTTTTTTGTTTGGTTTTATAGTAAAAACCTTGAGCAAACTTTCTCAGAGGTCTGTTTCTGAGAAGGCACAAGGGATAAGTTCTTACTCCCTGAGAGTGTGCATTATGCTAAAGGTGTCGGTGAGAGGAAGAAGACTATATTATATGGGAGACAAAATTTATGAGAACATTTTCAGTAGTGGGGAGAAAGAAACCTACTGTCAGTAATATTGATCAAATGGGTATTCACTAGGCAACAAGTCCCAGGCAAAATTTATGTGGAAAATGCTGGATGTCAGAATATGATGTTACTATGGAAATAATTTATTATCAGCTCAAAGGGATTTTAATGGAGTCAAGAAACTGGCAATCTAATTCAAGGCACATTTCAGGTTTTGGAGCAGTTTTGAGACAATAGAGCTGCTAAGTGTGATCTGTGCATATTTGCCTGGTATCAGGCTTAGAGCTTATGAAGGGATACTGATTTGCTGTCTCACATACTTCACTGACAGAGAATGAACTTAGGATTCAGCTGATTCAAACATCACTTACAAGAATTAACTGCTGGAATGATTTTATAGTTTCTCTCTTTTACTAATTTTAGGCCTTTTGAGTGTTTTGATTCTGCTTACAGTTCTACTGATCTTCTTTACAGCAGTACATCTTTGACAACGGAAGCCAGGTCTCCTAGCTTCAGGCTTCCTCAAAGCCCTTGTTGCCCAATGCTTAATCTCCAGCCATCCTGCTTCTGAAAATAGTGATTCTGGTTAACTGGTATTCTGTATGTTGCCATATTTGTTTTACTAAACAATGAAACCTATATTTTCCTCTGACATTAAAATCTATTCTCTAAAATATTAGTCAGGAGTATATGCCTGCAAGCTGGACTAAAATAGATAGTGAAAAGGCCAAGAAGTGTTCTATTACTGGCTTTTTTACATGCTGGCAAAGGACTGTGACTTGCATAGAATCAGCTCACTGAGGCCTCTGAATTCTGCTGTAATATTAGGTATGAAACAGTAAAGTGTTTGTGGCCTTTGGGCATTACAGTAAGGATACAGTATCAGGATACAGCCCTTCATTTCCACAGCCACCTCTTGAAGTTATGTGCACCAGAGGGAATGTTTTGGGCAAGCGTGAGCAAGTGACACTTTTCCTAAGACTAAGGAACCTGCAGTTTTAAGGCTTTTTTGGTCATCTCTACCATAAAAGGAACTCTGCTTTGCCCTGTGTACTGTCACCCAAGTGTTCACAGTTCTGCTGACTAGGCATCTCTAGTATTTTCACTGTGTTTAGTATTTCATAAGACACTGAACCATATGTAATATTTAATTTTTAAATATAAATGATATCAAGGAATTGATTATCCTAATTTAGGGACACTTTATTCTCTCTTCCTATGTAAAGATTTAATTGTTATTTTTTTTAGCTGTGTGTTACCTTCTCATTAAGAATTTAAGATTTCTTGTGGTTCTCTTACTGTCTTTGGTAAGAAGACCACACTACCGCTGATAGTCACAAACTTTGTTTTCCTGTGAGTTGGACCTTTTCCAATAATCTTGATCATGCCCCAGTTATTTAATACTTGTACTACTCTATTTGGTTCTACTACCAAAAGGTCTTTTCATTGGCCTTCCTCTTTACTCCATGCTATTAACAGTATGGAAAAATGTTTAAAATTATGTTTAGACCTTGTATATAGCATGATTGTTATCTCTTATAGCCATTTTCACAGTGTTTTTGTACTTGTTTGAACTTTCAAGTGTTTATATTTGGCACTTTTACGGGATGATGTATACTTTTTTCCCACTATTATTTAGAAGTGTTGATAAGCATGAGACCTTGGTTATCCATGGGCTGATTATCGAAGTTGTAGGTTAACTATTTCTTGTTATTTCCAGCCATTTCCAGGCTGCAGCGAAACCTACAGCCTCACTAGAAAGCATCTGCATTTGATGTGTTATGAATTACAGTATATTTTAATGAAACATTGCTTTGCTTCCTAATGCTTAGTCTCTTCTGCTCTCCAAATAAGTGTGTTTCCAAGCATTTGAAGTGTAAATAGTCCTGTAAATGCACCCTAATCTTCCTGAATTTTGTAATTGCTTTCCTTTTATACAAGCTGGTATTCTCCATTATATGTCCTATTTTAATATGTAAGTACTAACTATATTCTAGTGCACTGGTTTATATCTTGTATAATGTAGTTTCATGTGGAAAGTGCCTCATAATCATTAAATATATGAATTATGAGTGGTTTGACCTGTATTCCAACAAGATGTGAAATTCTAAGTCCCCAATTCAAAAAGTTTATGAAAATTCAGGGTTAGATCTGTAAGTGTACTGATGCAATATGGTTTTTATTATAAAAGTTAATACAAAAGAATTACGATTGGACAGCTTGGTAGGGCTTATCAACAGGTCTTGTTGGGTGATATTTGGTTGTTTTTTACTCTTCCATCAGTATGAGCTGAAAGTAACTTTTTTTACATCAGTAAGTTTATCTTCCTGTACTGTGAGTGATACTAGAGTATGTGTATTAATTATCCTTAATACAGTTTCTAAGAATAATAGTCACATGGAGAAATGCATGTAGTTGTGTTAACTGGGATTGTCTTCCTTGTTTTGCATGTATTACTTAAAAGTCAAAGCAAAATAATCCCATGGCTGTGCTTCCAAATTCAGATGCTGAGCAAATGCTAGAGCTGATGCCTCTGCCTCCAAAATGCTCAGTTTTCTGAGTCCTCGCCTATTAAAGGATGTTTAATCATTTAACTCACAGAAGGAATACTTTCTTTAGAAAATGTCAGGTGCAGTAAATAGGAGGGATGGTATTGGCAAAAGAGTCTCATGTTGAATTCTTCTGCATTGCAGGAGTACAAACGCAAGCTGGCCAGAGTGTCCCAAGTACGGAAAGAACTCAGGTCACGCATCCAGAACCTGCCTGATCTCTCTCGACTTCCCAACGTCACGGGCAGCCATGTACACCTGCCGTTTGCAGGAGACATCTACAGCGATGATTGAGTACAAGAACATCCTTCCATAACCTCTACTTTTCTGTGAAATGAGGGGTAGGTCAGACTGAGTGGTACTCTTGTAGTATTATTTTTGTATATTGTTGGAGAGTGTCAGTAAAAATACTCTAATAATTTATAAAAAATTGTTTAAAAAGTTGATTTGTTTACTATTTTATTGGTGAGCGAACATAAGGGTACATTTATAAAAGTGGCATTTGTGTCTATTACATTGAAGAATGGATAATTATCTTTTGTAAAGATTTTAGTTGGGTGCCCTGTAAAAAAACATGCTAAGATTTTTCTTATGTGCCCTATATTTAATGTAGATGAACATATAATCAATGCACACTTCTAACTCGAGACATTTCAGTTGCTAGTGAGGGAGTGAAATGTGGAAATTACAAGCTTATGTTTGCAAGAAGGTTGATGCAATTTAGTGCAAAGTTAAAATTGATCTTACTGTCCATTACATTTAAATTACCCACTCCCAAAACAAGTCAGATGGGTTTTTTTGAAGTAAATGTTAGTAACCAATTTTGTGTTGGAAAACATAAATCATACTACACTGAGCAGATCTTTAAATAACTCAAAATATTGCAATATTTTAGTATCATTTAAAAGTCAGCATAAGAAACTATACAATTGACTGGTTTAATTATTTTTCAAAATGGTAACTTTCTTTTTACAGCTGCTTAGTTTCTAAATTGAGGGACCATTCATTTGCACTCTAATCCCTTTCTGGAACATCCATCTCCATCTAAAAAAGGTTAATCCTAGAAATGTGAAGCCATTTTACAGCTTTAATTAAATTGAAAGGTCATTCTCTAAACCGTCCCAATTGTTAAATGTTCGTTATTAAAATTTGACAATGCTATGTACCATCCACACATGCAGCAACGCGATGGTGCAGCCGTGCTGTACATCCTTTTCCACTGAGAAACCCCGGAGGCCAGCATGGGCTTCCAGCCCCCGACCTCCATCCACTCCAGCAGATGTTCCTAGATCTTGATCGTCTTTTCTTACAGAACAGGAGGAGACAGTTCAGGCCTGTGTATAAGTTAAACTGTGGAAAATTATTGTTGAGTGTCTGTTTTTTAAAAAGTCCTTTGCATGCTACAGTTGTGGTATTTGTCTACAGGTAACTGAATTTGTGAAAAGTCCTTGTTACCATATTATGCACCAGTGTTTAAATTCACTTAAATACTTAAAGATAGACGGGCATCTAGTAGACTGGCAGAAAGTTTAGGCTTTTCAGTCAATCAGAATTACACATGTAGTTGTTGAGTGATTTAAAAAAATGCCTACCTCTACTTTTTGGCATTTAAGTGACTTTAAAAACCTGGGCTGCAAATGTTTGAGTTGAATATATCATTGGAGTATTTAATGATAGCATTTTGTTCATGGGTTTGCACTTGTCAGGCATTGTTTTGCATCAGTTAAGTTCACAGTTAGCAAGTTTAACACTCCTTCCTCATATGTAAGCAATTTTTTTTTTTTAAATTTTATTCTTCCTTTTCAAAAATGACAATGATTGAAAATAGCCCTGGAGTGAAATTGTTGAAGATAGATAGTGATCTATCACTTGTTATTGACTTCTACAAGGCCAATCGCTAGAATACTTGTTGGATGTGAATGGAGAGTAATCTTCCTCCTTAAAACAGATACGCTTGGACATAAGCACTCAGTCCAATTATTTTTTTCTCATGGAAGTTGCTATGAATTATACCTCAGTTAAGTAGGGAAAAAACCCCGGAAGATAAAAATACAAGCTGTTGACATAGCATTTCATAGCATGCAATGTAGAATATTAATTTCATCAAAAATTCTGACTGAGAGATAAGAATGCTGAAAATAGTTAATCAGAACTCACTAGCTGTCCAAAAATTTGTAAGTTTTGAGTGCAATTTTCAATTCCACAGGAAAAAAGAGCTAACTATAATGAATCCAGAGGAGTGTTTCTTTAGTTTAAGTCTAGTATGTAAAATTAAATAACACTTATTGGCATCTTTTCAGTGTAGATTCTTGATAAGAAAATGAATGTTCAGGTACAATTTTGATATTTTAAATATTTCTGTTCTAGTACGTTAAACTCAGCTCATAAATTCATATATGCATGTATGTGCATTACAGTGGCAGTTTATGTTCAGTCTTGCTGAAGAATAGCACCAAATTTCTAGTAAATATTAAAACAGCTTAATCCATTAAGAATCATAAAACAAATAATAAGAAGGCTAAACAGTGCATTCATGGCTGAATCCCATCTATGGAAAACTTAATTTGTACCCAGAGGTGACTGTAAGTGCAGCAGCATGGCTTGTTCAGAGTGTGTTGAAGGATCTAAGTCTTGGATACTCAAAACCATGGGGAATTAAGTTTAAATTCAGTCTTTTTCTACCTTAATTAAAAATAATTATAATAATAAAGTTGAATGCTGAATTTCCTTGATCTCTCAAGAGTATTAAAAAAGACAGGACACTTACTTCACTAGACTTGTTTTTCCTATTCATAACTCTTAGTGATAATGTTGCTTATCTACAGATAATGTAGAACTGATCAAAGAATGAGGAAAAATCTCAACTTCTTTTTGATGTATATAAGTTTTTGATTTTGAGAGAGTGCTATTTTCTGGATGTATTTTTCTTTATTTTACTGCAAAATTGTTTACTTCAAGGAGTATTTCATAGCTGTTTTGGGTTTTTGGAAATGATCCCTCAACATTTATTTGGAAAAGAGGACTTGTGGAAGGTAAAGGTCACTTCTATAGCAAGTGTCATATATTAGTGGCTGAATGGTACATTGTTTATTATTTATATGGGAAAGGCATCAGGTATCAACTAGTTAGAAGATTTATATTGTAAATGTAATAGGATAGCAGGAGATAACATGGTACGATACAAATGCAGCCCTGTAGTATCAGAAAATACCTCCAAATTCTCAGGTTCTGAAGTTTAACATAGGTACTTCTGAGATCTCAGGAAGAAAAGAGACTGGGTGGAGAGAGGAAGGATGCCTGGGAGCTGAAAAGGAGAGCATGCCCAAGTGGAAATGAAAAGCAAAACAAATGTCAGCTTTTGTGAAAACAGAAACAACAGAGTGAAACTCTGGGCAGCACAATATTTTAGCTCTAGGTGGGATTATACAACAGAACCGCTTTGGGGCGGTACCACCCTGGGAAAGAGGACGCATGGGTGTACCCTGCCTGGTCTGACTGTACTCAAACCAGAACACCCACCCTACAAAAGGCACAATTATAAAATATCTGAACATTTTTTATCTAATAATAAAAGCATAATCATCAGATTATTTGCTTCAGTATATTGCACCTTTATTGAGCATTCTTTGAAAAATGCAAAGACAATCCTGCAGCTCTTTGCTATATGAGAATGCATAATTTAGAGGTCACTGGGTCTGCTTGTATGTTCTAGTGTTTGCAGACTCGAGCTGTGTTTTTGCAGAATATTTTGAAAGGTATCAGAAATATTACCCCACTTCTCTGGTTTTAAAAATATATGTGAAGTCCTTAGTAACAAAAATTACCATTCTTGGAAATTGTGTTTCATTACTCCTTTTGAAAATTAAACTACAGCCTGCAGTAACATTAACTTGTCTGTTTCACTGAGTTAGTGTTCATATTAATATAGTGAAACACTTCAGTTAATCCCTAGGAACATAACCCAAACTACATGCTTATTATGTATTTTGTCAGAGTAGTCTTCTGAATGTTGAACTGAGAGCTTTCATTATGATAAAATTACATTCCTGTTTTCCTGAAGTTTAAAAAGACAGTGTGTTCAGGACTTACACAGGCTAATACTGCTCTCACAAGTCAGTGGTAACTTGGTCTGGTACTTCAGTGATGACCAAAAATAGGTACATAGGATGCGGGAGCCCCGTGCGCAGATGAACATGGAAGACATGGAAGTCATGCACAGGCTTGGTTGGCCTTCTACAGAAGGCTGTATTTCAACCTTTTGAAACGTCAGCAAATAGATTAATGGGTGTGGGTTTTTTCAGTGGAAAAATTAGTGAACTAGAAAACCAGCATGTCTAAAATTTGTCAGTAACATTTATAAATATTTAGAGCCAGTTCTGCTCATTACTCATGCATATAATCACAGTGGCTATTCTTGCAAGTAAAGGAAGCAGATTCAAATGTAGTGTCTGAAGTGGAATTCTTTTTTCAATGAATGACCAATTTTGTCTTGGCTCCTATTTCAGTGTGTCATTTATCTTGATTAAGTAGTAAATCTCTTCCATCTTGTTATTTAGAAATCTAATTCTGATTTCATCTTTACAATATTTAAAGTATCCTACTAAGCATGATGTTTTTGTGGGAATTTGCAAAAGTTCAATAGCACTCATTACTTGTTTGCAGCAGAAATAGACTCATTTGTTAAAAGCTAACAAGAAAAGTTTGAAATGTAAAGATGTTTCATTATTGTGCTTTTCTGACAGAATGTGTAATCCTTGTGTAATTTATGTCCTCAAAAATAACACCTGTATGTATGCTCTTTCATATTTAATAGAATAAAACATTGTTGTAAAAACATCTTTGAAATCATTGTTGGTTGCTTGCCTACTCAATCTCGTGGTGTGAAATGGCTTTCATGTAAACTGCTCTTTAGACTTAGGAGTCAACCAAAATCTCGTAGTGATGCTGAGAAAATGATCAGTACTAACTTTGAAGTTTATTACTCTCTGTATTTGTATTTTGTGTGACTATTTTCAGTGAGGAAGCAGTGTATTAAAAGGTCTGGGGTCATATCTCTGAAATAATAAATTTCTTAAAAAGAAATATTGCTGATATACCATTTAGTTTGGCCAAAGTTTGTTTCTTCAGAGGCAGGGCTGGGTGGGAGGGAACCAACTGTAATATGCCAGCTTGAGGTTCCCAATACTCAAAAATGGGAAAATGGCTCAAACTGGTATTTCAAAATGGAACACGCTTTAGTTGAGCTGGTTGTATTAAGACACACTTTGTAACATTTTCAATATATGGTTTGATGCTATTACTGTCAAAGATATACATACTGTTGTGCAAGTAGAATTTGTATGAGCTGAGAAATAACCCTTAGTCTATAATTAAACACCTGTATGTGGGGGTGTATGCTTAACAGAGAACCTTCTTGGTCTTGCATTACAAAGTCTGGATGAAATTCTGGTCCTGC